AAAAAGATTTTCAACCTTACATTTTATTTATTTATTTATATGAGACAGTTTCGCTCCTGTTGCCCAGCATGGACTGCAATGGCATGATCTCAGCTCGCTACAGACTCTGCCTCCAGGGTTCAAGTGATTCTCCTGTCTCAGCCTCCTGAATAGCTGGGATTACAGGCACCTGCCACCACGTCCGGCTAATTTTTGTATTTTTAGTAGAGACAGGGTTTCACCATGTTGGCCAGGCTGATCAAACTCCTGACCTCAGATGATCTGCCCACCTCAGCCTCCCAAAGTGCTTAAATTTTATACTCAAATCAACCTTAAATTTTATACTCAAACTATCAATCAAGTATAAAGGTAGAAAAAAAGACATTTTTAGACATAAAAGTCTCCAAAAATTCATCTCCCACATACTCTTTAATGGTAAGCTGTTAAAGGTTGTGATTTACTAAAATTAAGGAATGTACAAGAAAGAAGACATGGTTGGGCCGGGCGCGGTGGCTCAAGCCTGTAATCCCAGCACTTTGGGAGGCCGAGGCGGGCGGATCACAAGGTCAAGAGATCAAGACCATCCTGGTCAACATGGTGAAACCCCGTCTCTACTAAAGCTACAAAAAATTAGCTGGGCATGGTGGCGCGTGCCTGTAATCCCAGCTACTCAGGAGGCTGAGGCAGGAGAATTGCCTGAACCCAGGAGGCGGAGGTTGCGGTGAGCCGAGATCGCGCCATTGCACTCCAGCCTGGGTAACAATAGCGAAACTCCGTCTCAAAAAAAAAAAAAAAAAAAGAAAGAAGACATGGTGACTTAGTTTAGGCTGCTATGACAGATTACCACTGACTAACAGGATAATAAATGATGGAAATCTATTTCTCACAGTTCTGGAAGCTGGAGGCCCAGGGTGCCAGAACGGTCAGGTTCTGGTGAGGGGCATCTTCCAGGCGGCAGGCTGTCAACTTTTTGCTGTATTCTCACATGGCAGAAGAAGACTACAGAGATCACCCGGGCCTCTTTTATAGGGGCAATAATCCTATTAACAAAGGCTCCATGCTCTTGACCTAATTACCTCCCAAAGGCCTCATCTCCTAGTACCATCACATTCAGAGTTAGGATTCTAGTGTGAATTTTAGGGGAACACAGATATACAGTCCATTGCACATGGGATCCAGGAACAGAAAATTTACATACAAAATAGGTAAAAGGAACTGCCAGGATAACAGCAAAGGAAAGAGCCAGGGAGACAGCTGGCAGCGGGCCTGGAGGGCAGCCAGTTCAGAGAGAGGAGGACAAAGGGGAGTCAGTTATCTAAAATCGCGGCATCAGGAGACAGCAGTGTACACAAGTCATTCAGAACTACAGAAGTAAATAAAAGAAATACCGAACACAAGTGAAATTCATTGCCCCAGAAGAGCGAACTGGAAGAGGGCATGGGAACAAAGATTGTTTTAAAGCTTTTAGCTATAGTTGACTTTTTAAGTTTGTATTAGTCTCCTAGGACTGTCATTAACAAATTAACACAAGCTTGGCAACTATGGCCTTCTTTCTGTGTCTCTGTGTCAAATCTCCCCTCGTTTCTTTTATAAGGACACCACTCACTGGACTCAGGACTCACCCTAAATCCAATAGGCACCCATCTCAAGGTCCTTAACTCAGTTACATCTGCAAAGCCCCTATTTCCAAATAAGGTCACACTCACCGCAATCAGGGTTGGGACGTGGATGTACCTTTCTAGAGGACACAGTCCAACCCACTACAAAGCTATATATATGAACTACTTTGAATATTTGTACTTATTTATTTAGCATGTACATTTTAAAAGTTTTTAGCATCTATTTCCAAGGTGACTTCCAGAGAGAGATTTCCATGTATACTTCTACCAGCAATGAATGGAAGTCTCTATTTGCAAACACTGCACATTATATTGTACACACTTTTGGCCAAAATCATACACAAATGTTATTTTATTGTTGACTCAATGTGCCTTTTGGATTACTAATGACGTTTGGCACTTAAAAATATATTCATGTACCATTTGCTCTTCCTCTTTTGTAAAGTACCTGTTCATGTCCTTAGTTCATTTTATTTCTATTAGGACATTTATCTCATCCATATAAGATAAAAGGAAAATGATGTTATGAAAACATTGTTTTAAATAGTCAAGTAAATGAAAACAACCTAAACTTTCAGCCACAGAAACTGATTCACTAAATTATTATATTATTTAATTCCATTAAGCTATTATGTCATTACGGAAATGTGTCATTACGGAAATGTTTCATTACAGAAATGCATCTAGCATGAGAAGTGATTACAATGTAGGTAAAATAAATGGATTAAAAACAGTGTATCCAGGCTGGGTGGGTGGCTCACTCTGTAATTCCAGCACTTTGGGAGGTCAAGGCAGGTGGATCACCTGAGGTCAGGAGTTCGAGACCAGCTTGGCCAACATGGTGAAACCCCATCTCTACTAAAAAATACAAAAATTAGCCGGGCATGGTGGCGCACACCTGGAATCCCAGCTACTCGGGAGGCTGAACCAGGAGAATTGTTTGAACCCGGGAGGCAGAGGGGTGCTGTGGGCTAACATTGCACCATTGCACTCCAGGCTGGGCACAAGAGAGAAACTTTGTCTCAAAACGAAACAACAAAACAAAAAAACAGTGTATCTAATGGGACACTTTTCCTAAAGGATATGTAATAGGCAATATTATAAACATTTATATAGCATTTATCATATACCAAGCATTGTTTAAACATTCCATAATTATTACAACAATTCTGTGTAATGGGCTCTACTTTAATCCTTGTTTACCAAAAAGGAAACTGGAGCACAAAGAAATTATGAAACTTTTGCAAAGTTCACCATGAGTGGTGGAGCTGGGGTTTAAATCTAAGCAGGCCGAGCCCAAAGCTGTGTCATTAGCCACCCTCCTAGCTGCCTCTGTCTGTGTCAGTGCACAGGAGAGAACCCGTAAGTGTATACACCAAGGGAGCTGCTGTATTATCTATGGATAGGAAGGAACTGTAGGTAATTTTTACGTCTTTTTACTTGCATGGGTTTCTAATTTTTCTGTAGTAAGTTTGTAATGCTATTCCAATTAAAAACACTAAAAACTGGATTTTGAAAACCAAAGCCCTTTTCCTTAGCTTATTGTATAAGACTTGCTTTCAGCTAGTGGGAAAATCTAGAGACTTGGCTACTAGTCCCAGCTCTGTTACTCAAGGCATGTGGATAAATGCTGAATAAAATTTGTATTCACTGAGCATCTACTTTGGTGTTAAAACCTTACGTAAAGCAGTAAGTGCGATTACTATCATTATTGTCAGTGCTACTTCTCTTTTAACAAGTTAGCAACCCTCTCTGGGCCCCAGTAAAGATTAGCGTGAAAATATCAATGGCAGCTGTGGCTTCACTAAACAATGGTGAATGGGGTGATTCCGCTCCAGTTATGAGCCTTTTTCAGGGAGGCAGTTAAGAGTGGGGATATTTGCCTTTTCTAGAAAGTTTAGGAGGAAAAAAAAACCCATACCCTCTGATATGAAAAGGATTTCCCTGAAGTTAGACTGTTGGAGTAGTGGCAGTCTAAGGAGGGGACGAGAGGATGCTGCCGACATGAACGTGCTGAGTGAGTCCCTTCTTCACATAATAAGGAAGGTTTTCCTGCCAGTCAATGAGGCTGAGGGTGTAAGCAGGTGAGGACAGAGAAAAGACAGTGTGTCGGTATGTGGGTGTTTATAGAGATACTTGCTCTGTATCTTTAGGATGTCCTGGGGGAAATTAAGCCCATGAAATTGACTAAAATTGCAGCAACCCCTCACTCAGAATGCAACAGAGCTTGTTCGCAGTGATTTTCCTTCCTCTGTCCACTCTTCCTTCTTTGCCAGACTTCATAAATCCTGCCCTGACTCCAGCCTCAACAAACCTAACCCCATGGCCAATGGTCTTAGACCCTGGACCCCTCATTCCCTACCTTTCCAGACTGACTTTCCACTCCGTTCAACTCCCAAACCTGTTGATGACCCAAGTGGACACTACCTCCCCAAATCCCAAACCATGGACCAGATCTGATGTGTGCCCTGGTCTCTGGGAATGACCTGGCCTCTGCCTGGACCCTGATTTGCATAAGTCCCAACATCCAGGCAATGCAACAATCTCTGTCTTCATCCAGTGGAATCAGGTTCAGTGGTGTAATCTCAGACCTAAACCAAGATGGTAACTTGGGATGGGATCCCCGTGATGACTGCGGGTGCAACTGACATAATGTATGGGTCTTTTATGAAGCTATATCTAATTATTATAATCAGATTGGAGCAAACATTGCTGAATGGAAGCAATACACATGATTGTAAAATAAACCTTAATCCTATGGGTCTCTCCCTCACCTTCTATGACACCCTTATTTCTCAATGACCTTCTTTCATAGCCACCACCAAGTGCTGGCCACACAAGGTCCTGCCTCCCCCAGGACCTCGATCCTGCTGCCCAGGAGGCTGCATGGTGTGGCGGCCAGCATGTGGACCCTGCACTCAGCAAGCCCAGGGTTCATGTCACAGCCTTGCCAATTCTTCTCTATGAGCCTTCCTTTCCCCACTTGTAAAATGGGGAAAATAATCACCTCCCCAGATTGTGCTGTGAATCAGAAGTTGTGTGTGGAAGTGCTGGCTGCAGCCACCGGCCCCAGTTAAGCTTCTGCACATTGTAGTCATTGGTTTTAGAGTCAGGGCCCTAGCGCAGGTTCTGGGCACCACGCTCCCCTGGCTTCATCTTACTGAGGAGTCAGTGCCCCACCTCACCACCTCTTAGGAAATGTCCAAATGAGCATCTTCTAGCTTTCAAGTAAGCACAAGCCCAGCTAGCAGGTGCGTGTGTGTGTGTGGTGTGGTGTGTGTGCGTGTGTGTGTGTGTGTGTGTGTGTGTGTGTGTCCCTGTCCCAGGCACAGGCCTGGCTTCTGGAGAACCACTGCGTTCACCTGCTTCACAGAAGAGCACTGAGCCAGTTTGTTGACACACCTGGAAGAGGTTAGCAGCCTCCAGGACCCGCTGGACATTCTGCTTGGTGATCAGCGCCTTGCTGGTGTACGTGTAGTCCAGGAGAGTGTGCATGGTCTCAGCATCAACCCCCTTAATAATGATCCTCTTCTCATACTTTTCCTTTAAATCATTGCAGAACATGGCCCTGGAAGAGAAATGTGTGAATGTGAATCCTACCAGAACCCGAGGTTCCAGGCCTGAAGAGATCCCATTTCAGATTCCTCGACCCTCAGAGAACAGGGAGTTTCCCAAGGTCAGGTCCTGGGCCAGTGGCTCTCTGCTCCCCAGCAGCCCCTACACGTCAGACATTCCATCAGAACTCACCAAGCTGAACAGAATTCCATGCCCGACTGTGATCCCCGAAGTCAGTCCCAGATCTATTTTATTGGCTTTTATTGGCCCAAAGCGCAGGTGATTCATGTGAGGGCATTGTAGGATCCCCAGGCTTCATCTTTTCTTCTTCCCCCAGCACCCAAACAGGGCTTCTGACTCCCACAGTAGCTGTCTGCTGGCCTGGAGCCTGGCCACAGCTGAGGCCCCAATACCTGCCAGAAGTGCAAGTGGCCCTGCAGCTGCCTCTCACCTGACACTGAACCTCATGTCCGCGGTTCCCAGATGCATGTGCGAGCCCTGAATTCCCTCATTCCAGGACTCCATCTCACCTCTGGATTCTGCCTTTCCTGCTCCCTCCCCAGGACTGGACTTCCAGATGCTTAGCCTCCATCGTGGAAGCAGGGAAACAGGGTGTAGTTTCTATTACAGCATCTGATGGACCAGGATTCAAACACCAGCTCCACCAACCCCAGAGTTGGACAGGTTATTTAATCTCCATGACCTTCAGTTCTCTTATCTGGAATGGGGATTTTAATAGCTATTTTTTAAGTTTATTGTAAGGAGTAGGACCCAAAGGACTATAAATCATTCTTCCATAAAGACACATGCACGCGTATGTTCATTGCAGCACTATTCACAATAGCAAAGACATAGAATCAACCCAAATGTCCACTGGTGGTAGACTGGATAAAGAAAACACCATGGTGGTACATAAACACCATGGAATACTATGCAGCCATAAAAAAGAACAAGATCATTCCTTTGCAAGGATATGGAAGGAGCTCGGGGCCGTTATCCTTAGCAAACTAACCCAAGAGCAGAAAACCAAGTACCTTGTGTTCTCACTTATAAGTAGGAGCTAAATGATGAGCACAAGTGGACGCATAGAGGGGAACAGGACACACTGAGTCCTATCGGAGGGTGGAGGGTGGGAGGAGGTAGAGGATCAGGAAAAATAATGAGTATAGGCTTAATACCTGGGTGATGAAATAATCTGTACAACTCCCCATGACCTAAGTTTACCTTTATAGCAAACCTGCATATATACCCTGAACTTAAAACCAAAGTTAAAAAAAGAGAGATAGAGAGATTTTTTTTTAACCCCACACCAGGCTCAGACGTAAATTTATCATACTTCTTCGACTTTGACATTTAAACTGTTGGCCCTTCCCAGGGAATGAGTGAGCAATTTTATTTATTTTTGAAGTGTATGTAGGCCAGGCATGGTGGCTCATGCCTGTAATCCCAGCACTTTGGGAGGCCGAGGCGGACGGATCACCAGGTCAGGAGTCTGAGACCAGCTTGATCAACATGGTGAAACCCTGTCTCTACTAAAAACACAAAAATTAGCTGGGCATGGTGGCACATGCCTGTAATACCGGCTACTCGAGAGGCTAAGGCAGGAGAATCGCTTGAACCCAGGAGGCAGGGGCTGCAATGAGCTGAGATCATGCCACTGCACTCCAGTCTGGGTGACAGTGTGAGATTCCACGTCAGGAAAAAACGTTGCTAAAGTGTATATAACCTAACCACGCTCTGAAAATATTTCTGGAATTCTGGAAACCTGAATGGCACCCAAAAGACAGCAAGAATGCATGAATTAAAAGTAGGTGGGGGGCCGGGCGTGGGAGTTCATGCCTGTAATCCCAGCACTTTGGGAGGATCACTTGAGGTCAGGAGTTCAAGACCAGCCTGGCCAGCATGGTGAAACCCCGTCTCTACTAAAAATAGAAAAAATTAGCCAGGTATGGTGGCGCGCTCCTGTAATTCCAATTACTTGGGAGACTGAGGCAGGAGAAACTCTTAAACCTAGGAGGCGGAGGTTACAGTGAGCCAAGATTGTACCACTGCACTCCAACCTAGATGACAGAGCAAAATTCCATCTCAAAAAAAAAAAGTAGGTAGGGAAAAGATAGAAAAACAAGAGTGGGAACATAAAGGTAATCTATGAATGAGGCTAGCAATGCCCGCCACGTGGCTGCTACACTGTCTTTATAGGGGGGTTGACCAAGTGCATCCGAGACAATATGGCCAGTTACACAATTCACAATCCTCACTCTGTGTGTGTGTGTGTGTATGCTAACAAATCCAAATGCTCAGAATAATTATTCTTGTTCTTGGCATTAAAAATTAGATGGGCTGAACAATAGCCTCACGACATTCTCACCTCATGAGGGCGGTCTTTAATAGATACAGCTGAGACAGCTCCTTTAGTCCCACTCCCCAAATCCTGTTCACTCTTGCGTACCCTCCCAGAGGCTGTGAGACCTCAGCAATCCTGTAAGCTGGGGCAGCAGAGCTTATAAAAACAAATCCTTGGAGGCTCTGTAATTCCACATCTTTCAGTTGACCCCACATTTGCAGAGCACCCATCTGGGTAGTTCCGGAAGAGATTTAAATCTTCTTCTAGACAGTACTCTGGACTGAATTGTGTGCCCCACAAATTTGTATGTTGAAACTCTAGGGCTGGGCGTGGTGGTTCATGCCTGTCATCCCAGCACTTTGGGAGGCTGACGCGGGTGGATCAGTTGAAGTCAGGAGTTCAAGACCAGCCTGGCCAACATGGTGAAACGCTATCTTTACAACAATACAAAAATGAGCCAGGTGTGGCTAATGGCTTGAACCTGGGAGGCAGAGGTTGCAGTGAGCTGAGATTCAGCCACTGCACTCTAGCTTGGGCAACAGAGCAAGACCCTGTCTCAAAAAAAAAAAAAAAAAAAAAAAAGACAAGAAACTCTAACCCCCAATGCCCCAGTGTGACTCTATTTGGAAATAGGGGTTTTAGGAGGTAATTAAGAAAAATGAGGTCATAGGGTTGAGGTCCTAATCGGATAGGATTGATGTTCTTATAAAGAGAGGAAGAGAGACTAGAATTCTCCTGTGTGATCGCTCTGCCCCATGTGAGAACTGGGCGAGGAGGTGGCCATCTGCAGGCCAGGAAGGGACTTCCCTAGGGCCCGCCCAGGCTAGCAGCCCAATCTCGGACTTTCAGCATCCAGAACTGAGAAAACAAATGTAAACGTGGCGAACCCATCCAGTCTATGGTGTTTTGTTACGGCAACCCAAGCTGAATAAGGCACATTTTGGTCCTGAGAAGTGGGGTGCTGCTGTCACAAATACCTACAGAACGTGAAAACGGCTTTGGAACTGAGTATTGGGTAGAGGTTAGAGGAGCTTTTGAGGTGAATGCTAGAAAAAGTCTAGATTGCCGTGAATAGAATGTTGGCAGAAATATGGGCATTAAAGGTCATTCTGGTGAGGTCTCAAATGGAAATGAGGAACATGTGTTGTAAACTGGAGGAAAACTGATCCTTGTTATAAAGTGGCAAAGTCTGGACTAAACTGTGGTCTGCTGTGTTGCAAGAGGTGGGACTTGCAAACAATGAAACTGGATATTTAGCTGAGGGTACTTCTGAGCAAACGTGGAAAAAGCAGCTTCTTTCCTCCTGGGAGAGGGATGAATTAGAAAAAGAATGTTCAGGCAAAAGGGAACCAAAAATTAAAGAGTTGGAAAATTCTCAGCCTACCCATACTGAGAAAAATGAGGAAGGATGTTCTGAAGTGAACACCAAAAATGTGGCTGGACCATCACTTAATAAAATGCTTATGGAATTATAGGAACAGAAAGAAACACTGCCAGTTTGAACTGAAGGGGAAGAGACAAGACAATTGAAGGAAGGCTGTCAGACTGCTTGGACCTCACAGCAAAAAACAATGAGTTGCTCAGCTGTGAACATGCACTATTTTTATTTTTTGAGACAGTCTCACTCTGTCGCCCAGGCCGGAGTACAGTGGCGCCATCTCAGCTCCCTGCAACCTTTGCCTCCCAAGTTCAAGCAATTTTCCTTCCTCAGCCTCCAGAGTAGCTGGGATTATAGGCGCCTGCCAGCACGCCTGGCTAATTTTTACATTTTTAGTAGAGACGGGGTTTCACTATGTTGGTCAGGCTGGTCTCGAACTCCTGATGTCTGGTGATCCACCCACCTCGGCCTCCCAAAGTGCTGGGATTACAGGCATGAGCCACCACGCCTGGCTCGCACTATTATTTAAGAGGGAAAAATGACCGTAAGGGTGATTCAGAAATAATCAGGGCCACTGCCTCAGTTCAAGAAGCCAGATAGCCTCCATGAGATGCCTCGGAGTCGGGGGAGGGGTTGTTGGGAGGACTCACCTACAGCCATGGAGGTGACATGGCCTCCTCAGCGGGCCGGAAGGTAGGACAAACCAAAAAGGGTTATTCTGAAGCCTTAAACTCTACTGGACTTTATCTCCTAGGTTCTGGGCTTTCTTGGGACACATCACTTCTTCTTTCACATTTCTCCCGTTTGGAACGGGAATGTCTATCCCACACTTGCCCCATTATCGTCTTAGAAGCATATAACTTGTCTTGTTCCACAGATTCACAGCTGGTGAGGAGTTTTGCTTCAGGATGAATTGTACTTCAAGTCTCACCCATATCTCACCTAGATGAGATTTAGACAAGAATTTGGACTTCAGAGTTGATGCTGGGATAAATTAAGACTTGGAAAGCTGCTGGGGTGTAATGAATGTATTTTGCGTATAAGAAGGACATGAATTTGGGGGCCAAGTACAGAATGTCATGAGTTGAATTATGTCCCCCACAAAATTCATATGTTGAAGCCCTAACCCCTAATGTGACTGTATTCGGAGATAAGATCTTTAGGAGGTAAAGGGAAATGAGATCATAAGGATGGGTCTCAATTTGAAAGGATTAGTGTCCTTATAAGAAGAGAGAGGTTCCACATACACCCCACCACGCCTGCTCACGCACCAAGAAAAGGCCGTGTGAGG